GTTTCCCGAATTGCTTTTCGAATCAGTCGGTTTCGTGTTGGGAAAATTGCAGGGTTTTCTGCAATTTCTGGAAAACTTTCCATACTGGTTATGATACCAGCACCAGTCGGGGTTATCTGTCTCTCGTGGTCTAGAGACAGATCGCTTACGAGAAATGCTTCTACGTGGTGTGCGCGATCTCTTACGGTCGTTACGAAGACTAAGATAACGCGTGAGTGTGTGACATAAGTCGTTTATATCATTCTGAGTCGTTTGAGGTTTTTCTTTGACTAAAAATACCTCGGTAGTAGATTTCGTAATTTCTAAAATGCGGTCGGCAGATGCAGCTAGCTCGTCTAAGGCGTTGTTCTGGAACGAGACCAGAACTGCTTGCACCTGTTGGGGAAGTTTTGACAAGAAGAGTTGTTTGAATAGGCCTTCGTCGAAAGTTCTTGGGCCTATTACCTCTCTCATCCGTTGCAACATGTCCGTCGCAGAACCGTGTTGCAGGTCGATATTGTTGAAGAGTTGATCTAACCTTTGTCGATCGGTTAGGTCTCCTCGTTTAAGAATCGAGCGTTTTAAGATTTCGTAAGGATCGGAAACATCACTAGTAAACATACTAGGTGTTACGTACCTGTTGAATTCGCGCGGTAGTGCCTTGACTACTGCGAGGAATTGTGCACGTGTGTCGATCACGCCGTGCTCGGAGAAGTCGGCTTCTGCGTAGCAGAACCAGGCTTCGATGTTGTCGGGCCAGAAAGGCATCAGTTGAAACGAAGGCGGGGACAAAGTCTTAAGCTTGAGTACTTTAGGTGTCTGTTCAGTCATGATGAAGTATGAAGTACGATAATGAACGAGGGGAAAAAATATATATCCAGGAAAAAACACGAAAAAAAATCACAATGTTTAAAAAAGTTAAAAAATAAGGCAATGATATATAAAAATCCCAAAAAGGAACAGACTCACAGTTGCAATTAGGTGTACCAGATCACGTCGGTTTCACCAATGATGATGTCACAGGTATTCAGTGTTTGACAACGCTTCTACCAGTAACACCTTCTAATATATTTCGTTCCCGCCCAGAGAAATCAAAAGACAGAGTCGAGGAGATCGGAAGAGTATATTTGGCGATGACCAATATATCGGAATTCTCTGATCTAATCTGGCTAGCGATTGCGGTTGATGTTGAGCACGGCGTTACCACACGTGATCTGGTGCGGATGCCTGACCGAGCGCCTTCAGCTAGGTGAGTCCACTAAAACATATGGTCAGCATCCAATGTCGAAAACTTAGTGCTATTTATTTTGGGGATTTATTTACCGCTACAACCCCATACCAGCACTGTTGAGGGGAGAGAGATAAAAAAGGATGAGATGGTGTATATGTCGAATTTGGAGGGATTAACGATTCGTGTTGGGTGGCTTGACTTAGATAGTATCTAGAATCAGTAGGTGGGTCCCCAAGTAGGCCAACGTTATGGCTTCCTTGTGTGCGGTGGGCAATTTTAATCCTATTATGGGTAGTTGAGGATGTTGTGTGTTACTGGTAAGGAATGAAGGATTGCTTGATACTGTTGCCAAGAGAGGTGTTTCTGTTGTATGCAATTGTGTGCTGGTTCATGGAGCTTGCAAGGTTCACAATATATGACTTAAAGGTATCACATGTAGGTTTGGTTCTTGTCGAGTGTCGTTTCACGTTAGGATGAGTGGGTACTGCAAGTTCACTTTGTTCGTTGTAGGGCATTCTACTGCTATGAAAAGGTGCATGTTTTCGATTAGGGCTGCTGGAGTATTGGGGGGTTTTACAGATAGTTTAGTAGTATTTCGTACAGCTGTGTCTGAGCTTTTGTAGCTGCTAACGCAATTCCTGAGAGGATCACTGTTAGGCTAGCGGCCCCACTATTGAGGCATAAGTGGATTGGCATTTTGAGATAGCTGAGTGTTTGGGCCGAGGATGGGTGGTTGCAGCTGCTTTATGTGCAGTCTTGTTCTTGGGACTAATAGCAGCTTCCGAAGTGCCTCCGTTTTTGGGAGGGGTAGGGTATGGTATTTTAGGATTTGTGCAGTGGCAAACGCTGTAACTGCTGCGGCTGCGTAGGCTGGGTTGATTATTCTGTGTTCCATTGAAGATTCGACGCTGGATAGCAGTCCTGTCATGGTTGATTCTAATATTCTTAGATGTTGGAATACGCCTCAGTAATGACTGACTATTGAGGAGGTTATTAGCTTCAGTGGTACTACCAAACTGAAATAGAATGGGACATGAGGCTTTAGTGAGTACTTTACGTAATCTTCTTGTTACACACCAAGATTGTGACAATCCACATTCTTGCAGTAGAGTGCGTTTAACAGTCTGTACTTTCGCATTATCAGGTATATTATACACAATGACATTCTGCATACACTGAAGTCTTTTCAACACTTCAGATGATATATGGTCAATTACTTTTTCAGTGTTTTTTATAATTTCGAAATCGGGATTTTCTGGAACATTGATTAAATATTTGTGCGATAATAAGTCTTGGATAGTTTGGGTGAGGCTAAGTTCTACTTGGCTGCTTTTAGATCTACCAGTGGTGAGATTGTTGGAATTCGTATCAAAGTTTTTAAGGTCGATATGGTTACATACAGACCTGTTGCAGATGTCTACCGGGTGTTAATCTTGTGCATAATTAGTTGGGGAATGGAGTATATGTCTGGGTGAGTAGTCAAGACCCACATCATCGAGCTGGATTATGTATGCGGGCTTACATGTACTCCGTGGGCCGCTACTCAGGATGGCCTATGATAAAACAGGGTGTTTGGGGTCAGCCTCACTGTTTAAATAATGCTCACAGCATGTGATGCTTTTGTTTGGACTGACAAATGATGTCGACACTATAGGTGTGTAACTGCTCTTATTTATATGTACAAGCGACATACAAGGTAGTGATATGTCATGCGCAAGTAAACGGTGCACGTCTAGTGTAGCTGAAGGAAGATCAGAGTAGAATACAGAATGATCAGTGTCTTTATAGGGTTTCACATTATTCGCTTTAGTGACTGATCTAGATCTTTTGCAGATGCTATAGGCATCAGAAGAGATTGTACGTTTTTTAGATGGTCTGGACATTATTATTGTAGAGTAAATATAAAGTTTAACTAGGCGAACAGCGATAGTTATAATTTAATTTAATAGACTTGTAAAGTTCTACGGTAGGACCAGATCCCGTATTAGTTAAGAGCAAATATATTAGCGTTAATTAGTGATAAGAGATAAACGGCGTGAAAACTAGCAAAATTAATGTATGGCGTTGAGTCCCAAAATGAGGTTTCAAGCTGATAGGACCTTATCAGTGACGAACTATATATCGTCAATAAATGTTAAATTAAAGGGAAAAACCAAGAGGAAAATAAAATAATACCACGTGAAAAAAGTTACAACCTTCAAAAACGCGCGCGTGAACTCAAGTGTATCTGTTGAATTCTCGCCGTAGTGCCTTAACTATTGTGAGGAATTGTGCACGTGTGTCGTTCACACCGTGCTCGTAGAAGTCGGCTTCTGCGTAGCAGAACCAGGCTTCGTTGTTGTTTGGCCAGAAGGGCATTGTTGGAACGAATGTGGGGATATAGTCTTTAGCTTAAGTACCTTGGGTGTCTGTTCCGTCATGTTGCAGTATCATGTACGAGAATGAACGAGTGAAAAAACATATCAAAAATGCAGGGGAAAATATCACACTGCATAAAAAATTAATACAACGCAACAATATTCAGAATTTCAAATAGGAACTGACTCACAGTTTACAATTCGGTGTACCAGATCACTTTAGGCTCACCAATAAAGATGCCACAGGTATTCGGAGTTTGACAACGCTTTAACCAGTAACACCTAATATGAATCATACCCACCAAGTGAAATCAAAAGACAGAAGCGAAAAGGTTCGAAGATATATTTGATAGGCTATCAATATATCGAGGATCGTCTGATCTAATCTGGCTAGCGATTGCAGGGTTTGTTGAGCACGGCGTTCACACTCGTGATCTGGTGCCGATGCATGACCGAGCGCCTTCGGCTAGTTGAGTCCACTAAAACTAATGTGGTCAGCATCCAATGTCGAAAACTTACAGAGCTATTTATTTTGGGGCTTTGTTTGCCGCTACAATACTACCAACGGTATATCGCCCTCGTGAGTGCAGGAACAAGAAGAACTTGCAGTAACAGTAAGTCACGATCTAAAAACAACTGCATATTGCAACACAACAGCTGTCGAACGTTTTTGAGCGTTATGGTTATTTCACCAAGTATTCAAATACTTTATCAAGGAGAGCTTTCGGATTTTATACCCCATCTATATTAGGCCACACCTAGATTATTGCATCTAAGCACATTGTCCACGTTTTATTCAGGACAGCGACACACCCGATCGTATGTTAGTTAGTGAAGCGTCTTTACAAAGTCCCTTATGATGAGCGTTTAAAATACCAGAACTCTTCCCTCCTGACGTATTGTACAACGCCAGGAGACTTTATACTAGAATTTCATATTCTTTAATAGCAATTTGGATATCGATCTCATATTTTTGCCCTTTCCAGAATTACTCATCTTCGAGGCCATGGCAAGTAGGTTCGAAAACAATGATCCAATAAACTCAGAGTGTTGTTCCGTTTTATCAACGAGTGGTCATTGACTAGAACACTTCAACTGAACAAACGAACGTTTTCAAAAGTTAGCTGGGTCTTCACTGGAAAGTAAGCTTTAGGGATTAATGGAGGTTTCCTGATTTACTATCCTCATTACGGAAGACAGAACACAGACCTCAGATTAAGGCAATCTGAAAATCGAAACTAGGAGCAGATAGTTTAAACCATTATAAACATAGCTTCTTAAACTATCGAAATTTCATAATAAATGTATTTCATTTTTCACTCTTGTTTTTCCCTATTGTATGTACGTCTCTGTTTTCCGAAGTCAGTGCAGTTCGCAAGGCGCCTCTTTCGACTCTGCAACGTTGCGGCGGCTTTATTTTGTTCGGAATAGCAATGTCTGAAAAAGCCAGCTGTGAATATGGCACACCTAAGTATTACGCGCTTTGTGGTCTCGGTGGAGTTCTAAGCTGTGGTCTCACACACACCGGGGTAGTCCCATTGGATCTAGTTAAATGTCGTTTGCAAGTTGACCGAGCTAAATATAAAAATATTTCTCATGGATTTAAAATCACCATTGCCGAAGAGGGCATACGAGGTTTAGGAAAGGGTTGGGCACCAACGTTTTTTGGGTACTCTCTCCAAGGACTGGGAAAATTTGGGTTTTACGAAGTGTTCAAACACATATACAACGGTTTCCTATCTGAAGTAGGTTACTTAGTATTCTACTCATGAAATCTTGTCAAGGAAAACGCGTATTTATGGAGAACATCTGTGTATCTGGCGGCCAGTGCCAGTGCAGAATTTTTCGCTGATATTATGCTTTGTCCCATGGAAGCTGTGAAAGTACGAATACAAACAATGCCGGGTTGGGCTAGTACACTCAGAGAAGGTGTACCAAAAATGTACAGAAATGAAGGCCTTGTTGGATTCTACAAGGGTCTTCCTCCGCTATGGGGACGACAAATTCCGTACACAATGATGAAGTTCGCTTGCTTCGAACGCACTGTGGAAGCACTGTACAAGCATGTTGTACCGAAACCACGCGAAAAATGTTCGAAAAGTGAACAGTTAGTTGTAACTTTTGCAGCGGGTTACATCGGTAAGTAAAGTTTGTAAATTCCTTATATCCATAGCGGGTGTATTTTGTGCTATCGTATCCCATCCTCCTGACACAATAGTGTCGAAATTAAATAAGGATCCAAATGCACGCCTGGTGGAAGTTGCCAAAAATTTGGGGCTAATGGGTAAGTCACCGATAGATCTTACAGAGCTTTTGACTTTCCGCTTGTTATCTAGTAAACGCAGTTGATTTAATTTACTAACCGACTAATGGTCCGTAAGACTGAAAGGGTTACATTTCAAATCATAATAAGTGTTATATCTTCCAAAGAAGTGTATGTAGAGTATCATAAGTAGTTAGTAATTCTGGTAATGCTATCTTCACACAAAAGAATTAAGTGGCCAAGAAAGTCTAGTATGGTTTATAAATCCGAGGTTCAACAATAGAACTAAACCAATATGCTTGCTGGAATTTTGCTCATAGAGAACGCGACTTTGTGCAAACATTAGAAGCAAATATGTAGAAAGAAGATATATGTAGTGGCTAGTTTCCATTTAAACCCGATGGTCGTTCTTCCAGGTCGATAACACCACCACTGATAGACGACTTTCAAGACCTCTATACACCAACAACACTTCAGTTCCGTTCGTCACCGATTCTCATCGTTCACTCCATTTCCTTGGTTTTCACTACCTAACTTCATTGACTCTGCGATAAAAGTATTAATTCCTGTATTCTGGCCTTTTGTCAAACAAGACGGCATTTCATTAGCTAAATGCTAAAATTTTTAGGAGCTTATCTCAAACTTCTGAAGTCCGCCTACAGAATCCAAGTGTGGTCTTCAGACTCCAATTTTCACAATCCATCCTTAAAATATATATTGGTCGTTATTCAACAAAATAGCCTGAAGTTCTAAAAGTTATGTAAATTTCGAAGCCGAACTCTTGTCATTTGTCGTTTGTTTACTGTCTGAATAAGTAGCGTAAGAATTTAGAAGGGTCAAGATCGATAGCTTCGCCTTCTTTGTTCCCTTTATGCTTTTCCACTGGAAGTCGGGCACTAACCAATGACAAAGAAAAAAATGATATAAATAAAACACGGTCACAGTGATCCAGATATTGTTTATCTGTAAGTCGTCAACAATGTGTAATTGGATACTTTTCATCTTCCTATTTTCCTTGTTTTCCTTAAGCTTATTTTTCACTTGCCTTTCATTACTCTACTTATTAATATTAGGATCACTACCTTGACTTCTCTTTAGTTTGTTTACCTGTGCGACAACTAGGAATAATGATAACTAGTGTGTGGTCCTATTCTGTAAGAATATCAAGAATTGGTGACATGCTTTACTCTCCTTAGGTGAATATTTTAGGAGTAGTACTACCTTAATTTTTAACACTAATATTTGGTTCAAATTCATTTTATCTTACGGGGCATTCTGCGAAAAAAGCAGCAGATTTACAATTTGTTTCGTATTCCGAACAGTCGATTCTAATTGTGCTGTTTTACAACTTCAAAATGTCGCACAAGCAAATATGCCTTAGTTAAATCAATGCTGGTAAAACATCATTGACACGAAAATCACACCAAACAACAACGTGAAATTAAGCAGTATGAAATGCTTCTTAACTTCTGGAGACTGGGTAACATGGCTCAGAGCCGATCACAATAGCGTCGGTGTATACACTCTTTGTCTTCCTTAAAATAATGAGATTAAAGTTACTTTATACCTTCTTTTCTTCCTGTATTGTATCCTTATACACAATATTTCTTATATATATATATATATATGAATTTGGTGTTCATCTTGTTGTGTCAATGAGGTATGGCAACTTGAACCGATGTATATGTGCCTCGTCCTACGTTGTAGCTGACTGACTGGCTTCTCAACTTCAGTCACTTGTTTCATGACCATTTCTAGAGTTGGTTCCTAGTTCATAACAAGTTCATCAAGCAATGTCCAAAAATCTATTACTTGCAGAGTGAACGCTGCTTCCCAGAAGATTAGCTTCAGCATTATTTAACCAAATAACAAAATTAGACACCGTAGATATATGCAAGTACAAATTAGGATCCCAAACCTCCCTATTTCACTTTTGTGAGCCAATATACGTGATATGCATCTTTTAATTTGATGAATAATCACGTAGGTAGTAATAAAATCAGACTATGAATTCAACATTAATAAAGCATACCAACAAGATCAAATGAATTAACCAGGGGGAACCCCTGATCAAACAACTTAGCTAGACAGGGTCTAAGTAAATGAATTCCTAAGAGTACTCAGTTCAGAATATAATACTAACTAAATGTATTTTAGTTATTTAAAAAATGTATTGTCCTCCTGCCCACAACCGTTTGATTTGAGAATAGATTTATTCTATAAACAAGTCGAATGGTTACTAATTCATTCTCACAAAACATATGCTTAATCAACTTGTTATCTGATTATGTGGTCGGGTAAGTTTTTTCTGTCATTGATAAGTGCATTACACTTATGCTGATTTCACCAAGTCACTGCGCAAAATGAAACACTCTTCCCATGCAGTTTCTGCTTGGAAGGAACTTGTCAGTAGACGAATTTTCTACCGGCACATCACTGTAGGTGGCATTACTAAGCTAGCCATCACATATCTTTTGTGATCGCGCACTCCTTAAAGTGTAACTGGAATGCTGGTCTCACTGAGTCACTGTGCGCAAAATGAAACATTCTTCCCAAGCAGTTTCTGCTTGGAAGGAACTTGCCAGTAGACGGATTTTCTACCGGCACATCACTGTGTAGGTGGCATTACTAAGCTAGCCATCACATATCTTTTGTGATCGCGCACTCCTTAAAGTGTAACTGGAATGCTGGTCTCACTGAGTCACTGTGCGCAAAATGAAACATTCTTCCCAAGCAGTTTCTGCTTGGAAGGAACTTGTCAGTAGACGAATTTTCTACCGGCACATCACTGTAGGTGGCATTACTAAGCTAGCCATCACATATCTTTTGTGATCGCGCACTCCTTAAAGTGTAACTGGAATGCTGGTCTCACTGAGTCACTGTGCGCAAAATGAAACATTCTTTCCAAGCAGTTTCTGCCTGTGAATGCATTATTTGCTTGCTCACGCTACTGCATATTGTTTACACCATATGGAGAAAAGATTATGAAGTTAAATACAAATGCAGTAGTGATATCTGTGGTTATAAAAATGATTAGTCACGTGACATATAATGTGAGAAGAATAAATCTGTCGAATAGATCTTCAGAAATCTTGAAATTATATCCAGTGTTAAAGAAAATGAATGCGTCTGTGTTACTGTGATCGATTTTGGGCCATACCAAATAGTCTCCAACTATTGTTTATCATCTCACTGACTCCAATTTGATAGACTTCACTTACTAACACTGTTCAATCCAACAGCCACTGACTTCACAGACCGATGCCACGTTTCGGTCTGACTCTTCCTATCCTTCTACTGACCTATTCTTATGGCAGACAACACTGCGTGTTAAGGGTTTTTGCATCTGCATAATACATGTCCCAGCCACTTCAGTTGGAGAATAACAATCTCATTAACTAAATTACCATGTTTTCCTGGAACCCTGAGGACTGTACCCTCAGTGGCCCCATCAACCTTCCCAATGCCTTTAAGATATGTATGTTCATGGCACTCAGATTTATCAAACGCTAAAAAGGGGTTTACTATCACACAATATTGAGTCTATAAGTTGGTTTATCTAAAAGAATATTGCCACCAAACTAGAATCTGTACGAAACTATTTTAAACAGTTAGAGCTTAATTCCAGCACTCGGTTTCTCAAATATATGATTAATAGTATTGCAGTGAAAATGTTATGGAAAATGGGCCTGCTTACCAATTAGTATTTTAGGCAACGAATAAAGAACATTATGAATATAAATTAGGCTTATAGCGGTAAGTCACAAGACCCTATCGATTGTGAACCAGTACCCTGACTAAAGAGGGAACGATATATAATTTTAAAGAAAGCCAACGTCGTTTGTGGTGATTTATTCAGTTGGATTGTTTTTTAAACACATAACATGATCACAGATGATTATCATGTCCTGTTTTCACGTATCCTGACTAGTTTATGTAGGTACAACACACTTCGACTGTTAGGAAGTTAAATACATTATTCTGATTTCCATAACTTAACCTCTTCTGTCTGCAAGTCGATTTTGTTCATGTAAACTAGGCATAAATAAACTATTGTTATCCATTATTCCGATAAAGTGTCGTACTAACACATCTTGAATGACTATACCCAAAGATCTTAGAAATCACTTTGATCAAATTAATGTTTTTGTTTCTTCATATGACACAAAGTGATTAAGACTAAACTAAAAAGGCTATTTCCATACTTCAACTGGTAATTCTTGACTGTAATCATGAATTGCAGAAGAAAGGAGTCAGATCCTATTATTTTAGTTCTTTTCATGTGTCTGGCGGTCTTTTCAAACATAAATTATTACGCTTAACGATTATCTAGGTATATACTCAGTCTCAAGCCGCTTTTCCAAAGGGTATTCATTTTTAAGGTTACCTAAAATGGTATACATAAAGCATAAAGATGAACATATTACTCATTCTCAATCCAGGAGATTGGATCGATGGGCAAAACACTAGCGATCAGTTCAACTGGCCTTCAGCCACACTTCGGTTTCCCACGATCTTCATTCGACCTGAATGGCAAGTTAATGTAAGTCCTCCGACTCTTTACGAGGTTGAAAAAACTAGATCTGAAGCGTGAGAGAGCGGCAGGCCCTGACAGATTTACCTTTGAGATTTTTAAGGATGGTGGTCCAGTATTAGCAATGAGATTAACCGAGGTCTTAGGTAGAATTTGGGAACTGGACGTAATCCCATCTGACTGGTCTCAATCACTGATTGTGCCAGTCTATAAGAAAGGTCAAAAGTCCTCTTGTGACAATCACAGAGGAATCAGTCTGACTAATATAGTGTCTAAAATATTAGCCTCAATAATACTTCGACGCCTAACTAAAGCTCGTGAAGAGCAGACTAGAGAAAACCAGGCTGGTTTTCGACCTGGACGTGGTTGTATAGACCAGATATTCACACTACGTCAGATTCTAGAACACAGACACTCGTTCAGACGCCCCACCATCGTAGTATATCTCGAAATCAAGGCGACATTCGACTCTGTTGACCGTGAGGTTCTATGACAGTGTTTGTCATCACTGAAAGGAGTACCAAAGAAGTACATTAACCTTATAAAGGCTCTCTACTCGAACACAACTGGTAGAGTGAGAGCTTATGGCGAACTGTCATCAGAATTGATTACCTCAAGTGGTGTTCGTCAGGGCTGTCCACTCTCCCCATTCTTGTTCAACTTTGTGGTCGACGTACTTTTAGAGATAACACTCTCCTCATCTAAATTTCCAAGGGTTGAACTTCTACCGGGACGTTCACTTGTTGACTTAGAATATGCTGATGACATAGTTTTATTTGGCGAGGACGCTGACAAAATGCAGAGTCTTCTGACCACTCTAAGCAACAATGCAAGCATGTTCGGGATGCGATTCTCTCCCTCGAAATGCAAAATGTTGCTTCAGGATTGGGTTACATCGACACCCGAACTAGTGATAGGGAGTGAAGTAGTTGAGTGTGTCGACCGCTTCACTTATCTTGGAAGTCTCATCAGCCCTTGTGGTCTGGTGTGTGACGAAATCTCAGCACGGATACAGAAGGCTCGACTAGCTTTTGCCAACTTGCGTCATTTATGGCGTAGGCGAGATATCCGTCTATCAACCAAAGGACGTGTTTACTGCGCAGCAGTTCGTCCCGTCCTACTTTATGGCAGTGAAACATGGCCGGTAAGAGTAGAGGATATTCGTAGGTTACTAGTATTCGATCATAGGTGTCTTCGAAACATTGCTCGTATATCATGGGACCATCGAGTAAGTAACACAGTTGTTAGGAAACGGGTACTAGGTAAGGATGGCAAATCAATTGATGACGTAGTGAAACTTCACCAATTGAGATGGCTGGGACATGTGTTACATATGTCCAACGACCGACTGCCTCGATGTGCGATGTTTTATTGTATAGGAGTAGGTTGGAAGAAAGCTAGGGGCGGCCAGACCAAAACATGGCACAAGTGCATGAAGTCACTGACAAGTAGACTGAGTCATGTTGGTAGGTGTAGACTACCTGGTTGGGGACCACGAGATGATAGCAACCCTGAATGACATGGCTCCAAATCGTTTGCAGTGGTGCAGGTGCACCCACTCTTTGTGTTCTCCCAAATTCTAATCTTCTGAATTCTTCATGTCCCTTTCTTTTTTCTCTTTCCAAATTTATTTCACTGGATTATACTCTTTAAATAACATCTGCAAACCCTAATCTTCACGATTACTGCTTATACTCTTGCTACCTCTACCACTACGGGATTTGAATTGACCACTGTATCTCTGTTGTAATGTGGTGTGGCAACTCGAACTGATGTACGTACGTACGAAGTTCTAAATTGTTACTGACTGACTAAGACATAAGGTGTCATCCGGACCGTCAAGCTAGCGTTTTAAAGTACTTGAGGTTCAACTATTGGCCTTACATCAGTAAAAACGAGATGCCATCACTAAAAGTTGGAGGGATTTCTGAAGACATCTTACTGAAGAACCAAAACTCATCTTGTTACCACCCACAAATATTCTCTTACTTTAGTCTTCTGAATTCTGTCAGTCTACTATCTGAATCACCAATTCATTGCTTTTCCATCAAATAGCTTATCTGTTAAATAGACCCGTGTTGTTTATATCCGAGGTAATATCAAACATGTGCTCCCTCTTACCTTAAAACCTAAGCGCTAATTTTCACAAGATATATAATATTTTGGGATTGAGTAGTGTCAATCATCTACTCTTAATGGTTGTTTTGCTAGTCGGGATTACGTTTCGTTTACATTGGTCTGGAGACCTCAGCAATACCATTAATCACCACACAATCTATTTAACTTAAAGTTGGCCGCCTAGATATGTACTTAACAATCTTTTTTAATTTTTAATTAAGGTATGTGGAGCGGATTGGGTCCTCGTATTATCATGATTGGAACATTAACAGCCTTACAATGGTTCATTTATGATGGTTTTAAAGTAGCTATGCAGTTGCCGCGTCCCCCACCTCCATCTATGCCGGAATCATTGAAGCAAGTGCATTGATGTAGTCTCCCAAATGTATACAACGCTCCATATTTTATTCTAGTCCTGTCTAACACTTATTTACGTGAAAGACCTAGTTTGTAGATCTGAAAATATTGAATATAGTATATTTGAAATAATTTCTCATGGAAATCTATTGTTTATATACAATTAAAAGAAAGATTGTTGAATCTGAGTACCAGTTCGAATACGTCTTCTGTTTGGCTTGGAAGCTAAGAGTTTGGGAGTTTCTTTATGCAATGAAAAAGAGTCATCATCGTTTACACAAAAACTATCCATCTGATATTCATCCTGTTCTGGGGTCTACAACAAAGATTAAATGATTTCTGTAAAGATTTTGTGCACACTAAACGTAATATTAGATTGCATATATATATAGCGTTAAGATTTACAATAAGCATCACTAAGTGTTACCATACAATTTACTAATCAGAATTGATTGAATCATAGGTTTAAAACTTTTTGGATGTCAGATACATATTGCTGTTCTCCGTGTCAACGGATCTAGTCATTCCTGTTGAATTCCTAAAAATCCAAACCAACTGGAAATCAGGTTTGTCTAATAAGACAAAATGGATTGCCCGAAATCAAACAGACCCGAAGAATTGGAAAAATTCTGGTTCTAAACTTGGTAAAAACAGATGAAAGCTTGTGAACGAGGCGAAGCTACATGTTGTCCATATTTTTCGATCCACAACTGGCAATTACTCATATGTCCTGATACGCGGCTGTCGTAAATATCTGTGCTCTCAATTATACACAGGCGTTTTTTATGTTGAACTACAATACCTGAGGTGTGATTAGTTGTATAACTAATCTGTTAGCGTTCGTTCAAATTAATAGCCAAAAGAGAACAGGCAATTTTAACTCAGCCTGATTACGCAGTTGTTTAGAGACAACTTAGTAACTGAAATCCAGTCATATAATCTTGCTTTTAAATTCTGAGTGGCACTAAAACGCCTGGTTCCATTAGCGTCGTCAGACGTAAGCAAGCATGAAACACTCTGTAACTGACAGTCCGAGAATTTCCTTACGGTACTGATTGTTTTAGATACAACATATGCAAGTAACAAGGTTTAGAATGATGGCCAAGTATATCTATTTGGAGATGTCATCGTTTATGGCAAGCTCGATTAGCACTCGTAATTTGTTTGGTGCTTTAGGTGTACAAACGGAAGCAGGCAAGCATCTTGATGAGCAGCACTGTCTAGTCCACAAGACTGCTATACGTTTTCATGATCACTAGAATAAAAGAACCTGACATTTAAACCAATTTTATTGCTATACATAGGACTCTCGTAAATACCGAATAAGATTCGGTCTTCTAAGAGCACTATTAATATTATATTATTACTGAGGTATTACCGTAGACTCATAGAAATATGACTAAGAAAAGTACAAAACTATATCATTGAAATGATGTGTAACCTACGAACTAACCTGCGAAAATATAAAGGAATTTGGCACATCATCACACTTCTCAGATATTTTCGGCAAAATGTCTCTTTTGCTGACCCATGGGTTTCTGACATTGCCTGGAAATATTTGTGGACTCCGAATGCTCTGGAGGTAAATTTTCATGTCAGATCGAGATGAATCGCACGTGATATTCGCGCATTCGTCGTTTATGAAACTGTCATCATACATATCTTGATCTTCAGAATGAAGCTGGTCAGATGACTCATTACTCGTACACTCAGCCTGTGATAAAAACAATTTAGATCCAGCGTATTTAGTATTTTTGATTCTCACTTTTTTGTTCAACCGGTTCGATAATGTAAACTCGCTGACACTTTCGTGAAATATTCCCGATAATTCTTTGTCAGTAGTTTCACTAGAGTTGTTGTTTTTGGTTTCATTTTTAGGAACGGTTTCAATATTGTTTAGTTTTATTGGTGACGACGAATATAATAAATCATCTGTATTAAGTACCTCTGTTACCTGTTCTACTGGGGACCAATTAATTTGTGAGTCAAAAGAACTGTTGGAAGCAGTAGAGAAACAACCGTTTTTTAATCTGTCCACATCACTATAGGTGTCCATTTTTTCAGTGGTTTGGGTAGGCTTAATAATATCACCCAGCTCTGACCCTAAAGAGAGTTTTGTTTCAAAAGTAAAAAGGTCGACTGATTTGTGGAAACCGCTCAACTGCCGAAATGGGGAACCAGCAAAAATAACACTTTGGGTAGTAGTAGTAGGAAGCTCAGGATTCGTTAGTTCTTCATCTAATAAAGTTGATGCATCCAGGTGAATAGTTGAATTCTCCAGTAAAGCTAACGCTTCATCAGGATTAACTTGACTAGATGAAGAAATGATAGGTGGCTTTACACAACTTCGTCCAAAAGGAGTGCTTTGAGCTAAGCTAATCACTGTATTAGGTAGGCTGAAATTTTGAACAATATCTTTTAGCTGCTTATCGTGAAATCGACTATCAATTGTGTGAAGGCACTTCGTGGTTAGAGAGTTTTCCTCAGAATTCGGTAGTTTTGTATTAATTGCTTCAAGTAAACTATTTTCTATACTTAGCTTAAGATTCAACTTTGGGCTTGAAGAAATTGTAGGTGAACTGTGATTTTGATCAATCATGAACTCTAACCACTTATTTAGTGCAGTTTGTAGGGATGCCATTGTAATAGGCTCATGGTTATTAGCGTTAATATTATGAAGTATTTGAGTGAACTGCTTTGTGCAGTCGGTTAGTTCGTTAAGATGAGGGTCAAAAAATACTTTGTTAGACACTAAACCTTTGACTATTCTAAGATCTCGGATAATATCTAATACCGGGTTGGATATCTCTGAAGCTGGCAGAGTATTGGTAGTCAATTCATCAAGATCATGATGACATTGTGAAGAGCTATGCAAATCTAACTGGCTATTGGGTGGCGAAGAACTTATTTTTAATAATTCACTCATTTTTGTATTAATATCAATTTTCCGTATACCCAGAGCATGGTAAGAAAGTTGTGTCATACTACGACGATGCATTTCAACTAGCCGGAGGATTGACATGAGGTGTTGCGACGAAGAGGATGAACCAACATTTGATCCTGGAATTAGACTAGATTGCATAGTTTCTCTGAAGACTGCTAATCTTTCTTGAGATGTCAGATTGTAAATGTTTGTGACTGTTGGGTGGTCTGAATTAAAAGTATCCACATCATCAAATTTTGATATATGTTGAATTCGACCTAAGGAAGGGGGGTATAACCTAATATGCAGCCTATCCAGTTTAACAGACTCCGCATGCAATCTGTAGATGTCTTCATACGAACTCTTCTGAACACCTGGCTGCTTTTGTCCCGATATTTGATTGGTAAAAAATCTCTCTGTTCGTAAACATTTGAACTGGAGTTTAGGATGAACACCAATCGGTACCATTCTTGGATTATGTGGATAGAAAGCAAGTTTACAATAAGCGTTTCCCTCAAGCAAAGCTTTGTGAACAGAAGAAGTTCTCGCGATACTAACGGCATGATTCCTTTCTTCACGACCTTCTGTTAGTAGCACAACAATACGTCCCAGACGCTTGCGACCAGTTCGACCTTGACGTTGCATTAGTTGAATTGGTGATTTTGAAGCATCAAAGCAAACTATTAGATCAACTTGTCCAACATCAATACCCTCTTCACCGACACACGTTGACACTAGGGTGTTATAAACGCCTGACCGAAAACCATCCATAACACGTATCTGATCACGTTGTGATATTCCACCCTGGGCATTTGACAGTCGCGGGTTTTTCAAACTGGGTGACTCATGTTGATTATTTAATTGAGGACTTCCATTTACTCTTGTTCCTTGTCCAATAAATGATGCAGGTCTAATTAGTGGTCTTAATGGTTTAAGCATATGCATAATTTCTTCAACCGAGTCGCGAAACTGCGTAAAAACTATTACGCGTGTGGAGCTTCGTTCATGCGTGTTTTTTCTGTCTTCAAAATGACTAAGCAAAACATCTCTTAGTTTATCAAGTTTGGGATGACCAGCCAAAAAAGGTGCTTGGGAATGCAATAGATCTGTATGAATTAACTCTTGCCTCCAAGTACCGTCAGTGCATTCTACATTCATGCCGAATCGCTGAGCTAATTCTATCCATAAATGATTCATATTTGGAAGTCTGTTAAGCTGACTCCTAACCAATGGACTAGCTCGATTTCCAGAATAAACACCCTCTAAGTAGCGATAGAGGGGACGTAACCCATGTTGAACCAACAGTTCCAAGCCATGAAGCAAACATATAACTACGGCGAAGTCACACTGAATTGAACTGTTTTCTGTTGAATTAATACTAGGAAACGTTTGCGAAGACCATTTTTCTCGTGCTTTAATAACTGTGTATTTCGCTAGTTTTTCTGGACGAAGATCACCATAACACTCTGAGAGTGCACGACGTTGGTAAAGTCTATCGAGGGGCACACGAATACACTCAATTAATTGATTACGATACCGTGTCAGTTCCGGACCAAGAGGAACAACTACTGCTTCTAGCTCCCGATGTTGTGTGTATGGTCGGACGTCGGCACTAGTGTCAGTTCGAAGCTCAAGATGGGATATAAGTAAGTTTGCAATCAGTGTTTGTACCCCTTCAATATCAGCTGCAGGTGTGGCGGACAAAGCAACAATCCGAAATTGTCGATGAGTGTACGGTGGATTAGTCAGAATTCGCAATACCTATTTTGTGAAGAAAAATTAGAATACATAAAATACAAATGTTCAGATTAATATATTTAGAAACAAACTATCTGATACACCGAGGAAATATAAATTGAGAATAAACGAATATGAAACGGCATTGGATTTGAAAATTCATCTTAATTATATTCAGTCTTCGTTCCAAAGAGTGACTTAAAAAATCGATAGACAATTCATGATGGATGTTTTGCAGCAACTGTTCGCGATAAACAGTAGATAGTTGAATTACTTTTGAGTAATGTTATGATTACCAACAAAAAGGTTCACACTTATGTACACTTAAGTAACCTTTCGTTAAAACAAACGCTTTATCTGAGGCCTAGACATGGTTACTGAACTGATAATTTTCTTATCAACACTACTACATCACCACTGAAGATATAGAAACAAACAAAATGTAAAATATCCGATCACAATGAAGACAGTTCAAATCACTTTCATGTCAAAATACTACAGTGAAGAATGCGATAAAATTAAAACAGGATTGCCGCTGGCCTTTATTCTTATTTGTGTTTGGTTACGTCTTAAGTTGCTGAGTGACGAGATGGGTATGACCTCAATTACGAAGTGGTTGACCGGCAGATGACAACCCCAAGCAGCTATCTTATATACCATCATCTCATGTCGTAAACTGATCACCATTTGCACTCTTATCACTAGTGCCAGTAATTAATACATGGTGTGAAAACCGATGACACAACATACGTATAACTAGCGAAGTTGATGTTTCGAAATGGTGATACCAACTGGATTGTTGTCAGTGTGACTGAAAGTACATTTCTGAACATCTCTCCGCTCGGAGAGATCAGATTTTACATGCACGATTAAAAAATAATCTTAATGAGGAGTTGCACACTTGACGTCTTATACCAAGACTAACACCATACAACATTTACGAGCATCAACGCCACTCTGTGGAGGGTGACCACGATAGCCTGTGTGTCAACGCAAATTGAGACAACGTCATCCGCATACTTCAGTGACGTTCCCAGAATTCATACTGTGATAAAATCGAAGAGGAATTGTGGAATATGGAAATACCTTTGTTATATCAAGACAATAGAGGTAGTTTTATGCTTTTCCCCTGTTTGTGGCATCGTGTACAGAACCTTCGAACTACTCTACAATGCCTCATAAACGAATTTTCGAACAGACAATCTAAATAAAATAGAATATAACTGACAATCTATTTAGGCTTGATTTGATGTGGCTAATCTAACAACATACTACTTGTCTTTAGTCCGTTAAATGAACCATTACATCATTTTCCATAGTATATTAAAACGGTATTTTATAAACTTTTAAGTTATTGTCTTTTTCATTCACATTAGTAATTAGTTATTATTCACCAAATAATGAAGTTAATTCGGTGAATACATGAAATTAAAATTATATCCCAAGAAACTGTTCATTTTGACAATATGTACGATGAAGCACTTTAGAATTATCCTGGGATCACATCAAAGTCACGTATAATGGAAACCGTATTGGTCCCCCGAGATAGTAGCTTCTCGCCAGCCGGTTCAGTCTAGAACACCAATATCAACCTCGGCTATATGCATCATGCATTTCAGATATACATAGTTTATATACAAGCAAATCAGACAGCATCATGCCATAAAATAGAAAGTAATAATTATACAAGATCAGGCCAAAAGTGACTGTGATTGTGAGGTATTGTAATTAATAAATCGGGCATAACTTAAGAATAGTAAATCGTATAATAGTAGTCAATAGATCAAATGGAAGCTTACAATAAAAGGAATGTGAATATATATTTAATATGGTTACCTAAAAGTTATAAAATAAGAATATATATATATATCATAAAGGTTCGTATATAGATTCTGGCCGTTACCATTCACTTATTCTTGCTCCGGATGTAACATTTTTAACGCCATCTTTTAAATACTTTTGGAAACAATAATGAAACACCGTAAAACGCTTATAAGTTCATAATTTAAATATTCAGTCAAACTAACGGATCGATAAATGAATACCTGGAAAATATGTAGTTATATCAAATTAGAATGTTTTAGTACATTTAGATGTGAATAGGTCAGTGAATGAACACTATGACAGAAATTTGAGAAACATATCTAATTTTTCTATTCATAGCTGAATTAAGTTGTTACTTTGTTGTAACAATTATTACAGACCGTGTTGGTAAAATAAAATGACAGGCGTGACTTCGTGTATAATAAAAAGAAGGGACTATACAGAACTTCAAATAAAAGAGTATCCATTTGAATTGCTATACGTCTCAACACGAGAATAAAAAATCAGAAATGCAAGGATATTAAAATAAACAAGAGTTAAGAAAGTAGAAGAAAAGGGGGTGAAGAATTCTTAACGACCTTAGCTAGGGTAGCCTACATTTACTTTCACTGATCATAGTATGCAAGTCAGTCAGTCAGTCAGCTACAACGTAGGACCAGGCACATATGTGCATCGGTCCAGGTTGCCATGCCTCATTAGCACAGCAAGATGAACAGCGGATTCATAGGAGTGGTTAGGTCAAAGGTTGCAATAAGGATATAGTATAGGAAGAAAGAATTAGTTCGTAGACAGAAAGAATGAAGTGATTTTAATCTCTTAGTTTAAGGGAAGACAGGGAGTGTATGCACCGACGCCATTGTGATAGATTCTGAGCCATGTCACCAAGAGTCTCCAACCATTGGTTACGAAAGTCACGCGGACCCCAACCAAGTAGTCTGCATCTACCAACATGGCTCAGACTAGAAGTTAGTGACTTCAGGCACTGATGCCACGTTTTGGTTTGGCCGCCCCTAACTTTCTTCCAACCATCCCCTACACCGGTTAGCATTGCACGTCGTGGTAATCGGTGTTCAGGCATACGTAATACGTGGCCCAACCATCTCAGTCGATGAAGATTCATAACCTCATCAACTGATTTACCATCATTCCCTAATACCCTGCGTCTAACCTCACTATTACTTACCCGGTGATCCCAGCAGACGCCAGCAATATTTCTAAGGCATCTGTGGTCAAATATTAGTAACTTACGGGTGTCTTCTACTCTTAAGGGCCATGTTTCGCTGCCGTAAATTAAAACAGAACGAACTGCCGCGCAGTATACTCGTCCTTTTATTGATAGACGGATATCTCGCCTTCGCCAAAGGTGACGTAAGTTGGCAAAAGCCAAACGAGCTTTTCGAATCCGTGCTGAGATTTCGTCAGACACCAACCCATTAGGGCTGATCACACTTCCAAGATAAGTGAAGTTGTCAACGCGTTCGACTACTTCACTCCCTATCCTTAGTTCAGGTGTTGATGCAAACCAGTCCTGAAGCAACAACTTGCATTTAGAGGGAGAGAAGCGCATCCCAAACATTCTGGCATTGTTGCTTAGTGCTACCAGAAGACTCTGCATTTTGTCAGCGTCTTCACCAAACAGGACTATGTCATCTGCGTATTCTAAGTCGATAAGTGGACCTCCTGGAAGGAGATCAATACCCGAGAATTCAGTCGACGAGAGTGTTATTTCCATCAATAGGTCTATGATGAAGTTAAACAAAAATGCTGCTTTTAAGTCAAGAAAGACCACCATCGTCGGACGCCGATAGGTATGCCTGTGTTCTAGAACCTGACGAATGGTGAATATGTGGTCGATGCCGCCACGACCAGGTCTAAAGCCAGCTTGGTTCTCTCGAGTTTGTAGTTCACGAGTCTTAGTTAGGCGTTTGATAATTATCGAGGCCAGTATTTTAGATACTATGTTTGTTAAACTAATCCCTCTGTGGTTGTCACAGGATGATTTTGACCCTTTCATATATTTTGGGACGATAAGTGATTGCGACCAGTCAGATGGGATAAAGTCTAATTCCCAGATCTTAGCTAAAATATTAGTCAACCTAATCGCTAAAATTGGACCACCATCCTTAAAGACCTCTGGAGCCAATCCATCTGGACCAGCTGCCCTTCCTCGTTTCAGATTAACTATAGCCTTTTGAACTTCAGAAAGAGTTGGAGGACCTACTTCAATGTTCCATTCACATTGTCTGGGAATGGAGGGTAGTTGTAGAGTCGCTGAAGGCCAGTTGAACTGTTCCCTAAAGTGTTCCGCCCATCGTTCTAAATGTCTGGACTGGGAGCAGATGAGAGTATCGTCTTTTTCCGAAATAATCTCACTTACATTTGACTTATTAGTTTCAGTTTCTTTTATTAGTCTGTAAAGCTGTCTTGTGTTCCCTATAGTAGGCGCCTTTTCCATCTCTTTTGCTTTCGTTGCCCACCACTGCTCACGGTCGCTTCTTAGACTTTTGCCTAACCTAGATCTGACTTGTTGTCGCTCTTCATCGTGTTAAGAACCTGATGGGACGAGTTTGTGAGAATCCATCAGTGTGATAGTCTTTGAAGAAATCCACTGGTTCCTTGCAACTCTGTGGTTTAAGTCACTAATAGATGTCACTGCTGTTTCCACAGCTGATTGTATGCCCTTCCAAGCAACATCTGGGTCAGCCTCGTCTTCACAACTACCTAAGTGTGACCTCAGTTGTTCCTGGAACCTACTTTTGGTTTTCTCGTTACTCAAATCAGTTCTAACGGGTCTTTTTAATGTGGCTTTTTGCGTCCAGTGAGGCGCAAGCAGATGCGTGCCCGTATTAGGGCATGGTCGGAGTCCAAGCAGGTACTCCAGAATGAGTGACAATCTTCCACCGACCCTCTCCAACGATGACAGATGGCAATATGGTCTATTTGAGTCCATCGTCGGTTTGGTGTAGGGCGTCGCCATGTTAGACGATGTTTCTTCTTATGTTTAAAATTTGTGTTTGCTAAAAATAAACGATTGTCTGAGCATAGTTGCAGCAGACGATCACTATTATCTGTTCGCTGTGCCGGTATACTAAAATACACACCTAAATGCCTTTCTGTTTGGTTTAAACTGCCTATCTGAGCATTAAAATCACCTGCTACGAGTACTATGTCTGAACGTTTAGCTTTCTGAAGAAGTTCAGAAAGCTTTCTGTAAAATTCATCTTTCACATCATCTGAGCTGCAGTCAGTGGGAGCGTAGGCAGAAACGACGAAAAGGCAACGACGTGTGTCCTTATCCTTCCGAGTTTTTACGGAGCCGTTTAGCCGAACAGCACATAGACGACTGTTGACGGGGATCCACTCTAGCAGTGCTTGTTCGGCCCTCATGCTTAGTGCTATGCCTACACCTGCCAGTCCACGAGAACTTGCCATCGGGTCACCAGATACACGAAGGGTGTACCTCGTTGGCTCTCCGTTTTGCCGAGGTGAGGTCAAGTGAATGACCACACTGGAATCCTGTATGCGTGTTTCGGAGACACAGCATACATCAATGGAAAGAGACTCTAGGGTTTTAGCCAAGGAAGCCTGCTGACCGATTTGACATAGGGTTCGTACGTTGAAGGCTCCAATGTGTAGTTTGGAGCGAGGTTTCAGTAGACCTGGGACAGTATTTTGCGCACTAGAATCGTTGGCTATGGTGACACTTGAGGTGGAAGCCGAGAGAGGAAATTTAAAGTTGAAAGTCGATGTAGGAGGAATAATAGGAATTGAAGAGGAAGGTTGATTATGAATACAGTGGTCTTGAGTGCTGTTAGAGGTATGAGGGCGGTTTTCACTTCCCGGTTGCCCACACCGTGGAAGGGTTGTTCTGGAGGTACCTGAAAAGGAATTTGGATTAAAGGTGGTCTTAGTGACCTGAGAGCGTGACCGCAGTGCCCAAGGGACAACTGCTTGAGGTCGGTCACACACGACCTTGTTATGGGTAATTTTTGTGTTAGCTCCGTACTTATTGGGACCTTACCGCCGGAGACGGATATCCGTGGGATAAGGCGAGGTGTGCATTTTTAGGGTCGACCTTTTCTAACCCCACCCCTCCTTGTGGGAAGGCAGCATCGCTGTCATGCTGGTTGTCTGAAGGAAACACCTTACTGCTGTCACACCTCTGTACAGTCAGCAGTACGACTTCGCCTTCGGACCTTGGGTTTGTTGCTTTTAGTCTTACCGCTCTTCAACCGACCTGTCTGACATGGTAGGACCTTGAGGAACGGTTGTTCCAGCCAGTATAGCTCGGTTGCTTCATCACGATAGGCAAGCCCGACCACCACGTCAAGGTAGCAACAACGGTCGGGATAGTATGCAAAATAATTCATAATCAAAAATGACAGACCAAATAACAAACATCTAGTCATCAATGTTTACTACAGTCATCAGACTGGAAGGATATGTAGAACTTACAGTGGAATACAACATTATCTATTAGTTCTCCTAACGTTAATTATAATATGCCTAATTAGAAACTTTTAATCCAGCAATACCGGACGAAACAAATAACTTAGACATACTTGACAGTAAGCATGATTTCCTGTCGCCTTGTGTGCCTCATCAAATATGAGCAAACGGATAGAATTAGCAGGACAAACACCAGTCTGCAAATCATTCATTAGCACTTGAGGAGTAAGAAATAACACTCGATATGTGGACCAGATAGTTTTTCTTTTAGTTTGTGCAATCGATCCAGTCACCTCAGCGATATTTTCTTTAAGTGGCCCAATAAATTCCGAACACGAAGTAAGTTGCTGTGTTACAAGAGGTCGAGTTGGCGCCATAAACACAAATCTACCCGTTGGATACCAACGGGAGAAATTATATATAACAACGGCAGCAATAAATGTTTTGCCCAGTCCTGTAGGCAGGCAGACAAGTGTATTTTTATATAGACATTGCTCAATTATATTTAACTGGTATTTGCGTATGTTTGAATCACTTGGATAAATCCACTCAACCCCAGCATCTACATCGAAACCTTCCAAATGTTCTGAGTCATTAGCTGTAGGATGATATACGACAGGTTTTCTTTCCAAAGCATCGATGATAATCTGGGCATTTTCACAGACTTCGTTTTCGTGTGAATTAGTGTTAGACTCTGGAACATTATTAAATTTGTCAAGAATATTAGCCGCGAAAATATCGTTAGAATCCACAGATTTAAGTGTCTTAGAGGATGAGTTTACAGTACTGGCATGATTATCACTAATAATACGATGTGAGGGGATTAAATTTGTCCAAGATCGTAACAAAGAAGTTTGTTTCATAAAAAACAATGGGTAATCAGAACACGCTTGAAAAGTCTAGAAAAGAAAAATAAAAGGAAATCTAACAAAGCTTCATATAGATTCTATTATTACGTAACTAAAAATAGAATGGTTTTGTTTGTCCACTCAATTCATATAAGATTCCAAGATTAACTAAAATTGTAAATGTATTATGACGAAAGTTAATTCTAATTAATCAGTTTTGGGGAGATATTTGACTGTTCCCTACAACAGTAACACATGAAGTAAGAAGGAACCCAAATCACATTCGGTCTTAAATGACAGACTTCGCATTTATCATTTGAGTAACGAAGAACCAAAGTATAGTTTGTGTAAGTTAAATCTAAGTTTTAGCTGTTTTAAAAAGTCTGTTCTGAAGGAACTTGCAGTTCAGTAAAATATACAAGTGATAATTATCAGTAACTTAAGGTTATAACCTTAAGTTACTGATAACTATCAAACTATAGTTTGATCAATTGTGTGGACCAATTAAATGAATTTAGATCCTCAATTTATTTAGTCAGTGGTATACAAAATATACTATGCCTTTTGACATTGTTACTGATTTTAAAACAACGAAAGCAACTCTTTCAGTCATTAAGAAAAACAAGAACAGTTCGGCGAAAAAAATTTTCTTTGAGATTTATTCGATACTTGAAGTTTATGATTAACATATGGTGCCTTTGTCAATGATATAAAAACTTTGTATCTCACTAAAGACCACTATGTGCAAACAACTATAATCAAATCTGTACAGTTTTGATAAAAAATGTCATAGAAGAAGCTTTATTTGTTGAACTGCCTTTATTTTGTTTACTGTTACTAATGTTACAAGAGACCCCAATCTAATGGTCCTAAATGAAATTTAGACATACGGTTTTACATATATGTGAAACCATATATATTCATGCAAATTTTACCTGAAACTGTGATCTTTCAAGCAGTTAGGTCCATGTATTTTGTGTGCTGCAATTGAATATTGCTTTGTTTAACATGAACTGAAATGGATTATAGATATAGATAGCTGAATACACTGATATTTATATTTGTCTAAAAAAGCTTCTTAATATTCTAACCTAAATATTTAATTGATTTGCATTGTTTGTATCACAATTACAAGAAATTGTTACTCATTAATTTATTCAGCTTCCGATTTCTACTATCCACTAGTAAGCTCAATGTTCAAATATAGTGTATTTTAAGGAATAAAACTGTTTGTTACCGTAGTAAAATAAAGAGGATTTGGATTTGAACAAGAAAGCGATTCGAAACCTTGCGAGCTGAAAAGATGAAAGGTTTATATACCAAACGGGGAACGTGACATGCCACATTTCTAAATAACTAAATCAAAATTTATAATCTCACATGATATTAAACCTAGTATGTCCATTGGGTTTTAGTTTTTCAACGATAGATCTGACGAAAATTGTCTCATCATAATAATGGTATGAGTATGATATTTACCCAGTGTTTGAGACATTATTGCGCCGAGTAAATGTCGAAGTAACCTTAAAACCTTGACCCTGAAACCAGTTGACGCGCTAACAAATATTTTCGACAAATCTGACTTATTAAAATAATTTAGTAATAACTCATTTAGAGATAAAGCACTATGGTGCACTTTCAATCAAGTAATTTGTCCTAATTTTCAAAATATACATATAGTTTTATCGACCTCATGCAACTATTCTGGACACTTCGAATAATCTATAAAGTACCTTTGTCGACGTAAAAAAACTTTGTAATCATTGTGGGAACTATGTTCACTATGCAGTTTCTTGCTAAATTATCCAGGTTTCTAAGATTGGTATTCCATCACCTTTATTTGACGAAGAATTCCTAATTGACATCCTCTCATCCCTGGCTCCCGCGATCGTGCCATCAGAGCCTTCAACTTTATCAACAAAACTCAGATAAAACACCTGACTAGCAAGAGTATTTATGATTTTAGACGGTTTGGTGTGTCAGCTTTACAGGTCTTTTTATAGCAGGTGAATTGAGGAGCTCACCCTCAGCTTGATGTGGACACCCAGTGTGATTCCTTACCGCACCCAATCTTATATGCTACAAAACAGTCTGTCATGAAACCGGTCCCAAAAAATTACAAGCAAAGTACAGCCATAAAGAATTCCCCCCTTTGAGTACTTGGACTCAAAATTTACTAATCAGTGCAATACTAACAGTCTAGTGACAACAGCTCATATGAGCAGTTCAAACAAGCAAAGAACCAATGCACACAGACATTAAGAGACGACAAGCTTTACTGTCAAAGAAAACCAAGTGATAAATTTATCTCCAATCCGAGAGTCTTATTCCGTTATGCAGCCTCTCTTCGACAAGCCAAAACCGGAGTTTCCCAATACCTAGATTATAATGACACAACCAACAGCGACAGCTATGCTACCTTTCCTCTTGTAAAACAGCATTTTCAAACATTTCAACCATTCCACACTAAATGCACAGACAAGAGCTTAACTCCAGGCTCGACAGGAGTATCAGAAGTGAAGCTGAGTTCCGACTTGTTGTATCAGAAACTTCAGCACCTAAACAAAGATACTCCTCCTGGACTGGATGTTGTCCATTCTGTTATACTGAAGGAAGCCGCTTCAATCTTGACAAAACCATCTAGCGTGGTTGATTCATATTCGCTCAGTCAAAACACGATACTGAAAATATGGAAGCAGGTTCACATTACACTAATTTTCAAAGGAGGTAGACGCAGTGAATATTCAATCTACCGGCCCGTAACATTTCCTAAAACGAGGAAGTTCCTGATGTGTGACGATCTAAGACATCACTTACTATCCATAAGCATCTTTTCACCACAACTGGGAAGGGTCACTGTGATAATTAGGAGTATTTAAAGTATAGTACTAGCTAAGAATCCCAGTAATAACGCATTTGGACCAAGAAGCACTGTATAACCACGAACGAATATACTGTATTTGGAATTCGAAACCAAGCATTCAACAAGTACAAAAGAATCATTATTTCATTCAAACATCACAATCACTCTCGGATAATCAACCTACTAACTGTGGAGTACAAATGAACAGCCACAGTTGATCTCAGGGAAAATGTCGATTTTTTTCGTGCATATATGTAACCCTCGTTCTATTGATAGGAGAAACTAGACTAGTAGTGAACAGGTTTTTATTTAGATTGCGAGGCAGTCACAGTGGAACCGGGGAACTACCTGTTCAAGCACACAAAACCTTTCAGCAATCAACATAAGATAATAGGATATATAATGCCTATACTGAATAAGGAAGTGAATAAATACTTGAGCTCTTTTGTTTTGACATATACCTAGTTGTTTGAGGTCAATTCTAAACTAACCAACCTAAACTGTTAAAGTGTCACAAATTTTAACTTCAATCAAATATGTCACAAACGTAAGTGCAAATAGTTACTTACTTACTTACGCCTGTTACTCCCAATGGAGCATAGGCCGCTGACCAGCATTCTCCAACCCACTCTGTCCTGGGCCTTCTTTTCTAGTTCCATCCAATTCTTGTTCATTTTTCTCATGTCTATCTCCATTTCTCGGCGTAATATGTTCTTTGGTCTTCCTCTTTTCCTTTGACCTTCAGGATTCCATGTGAGGGCTTGTCTTGTGACGCAGTTGGGTGCTTTCCTCAATGTGTGTCCTATCCACTTCCAGCGCTTCTTCCTGATTCCTTCCTCCATTGGGATCTGGTTTGTTCTCTCCCACAGTACGTTGTTGTTAATAGTGTCCGGCCAATGGATCTGAAGTATTTTGCGTAGACAACTGTTAATAAACACTTGTATTTTCTGGATGATGGCTTTCGTAGTTCTCCAGGTTTCCGATCCATACAGTAGAACTGCCTTGACAATTGTATTGAAAATCCTGACCTTGGTGTTGGTTGACAGCTGCTTTGAGTTCCAGATGTTCCTCAGTTGTAAATATGCTGCTCTTGCTTTGCCGATCCGCGCCTTCACATCTGTATCAGATCCACCATGTTCATCGATGATGCTGCCCAAATATGTAAAGGTTTTTACATTTTCCAAATCTTCTCCGTCAAGTGTGACTCGGTTGTTGCATGTTGTGTTGTATCGGAGAATCCTGCTTTCCCCTTTGTGTATATTGAGACCTATTGCTGCTGAGGCTGCTGCTACACTGGTCGTCTTCTCCTGTATTTGTTGTTGCGTTTGGGATAGAAGAGCCACATCATCTGCGAAGTCTAGATCATCCAACTGCATCTTAGATGTCCACTGTATCCCGTGTTGCCCTTCAGATGTTGACGTCTTCGTGATCCAGTCGATCACCAGGAGAAAGAGGAAGGGTGAGAGTAAGCAACCTTGCCTAACACCGGTCTTCACTTCGAACGACTTTGTCAACTCTCCTCCATGCACGATTTTGCAGTTTAATCCATCATATGAGTTCTGTATGATATTAACTATCTTCTGAGCACGCCGTAGTGTCGAAGAAGTCTCCATAGTGTTGTTCTGTCCACGCTGTTAAATGCTTTTTCGTAGTCAATGACGTTGATGTATAGTGATGAATTCCATTCAATTGATTGTTCCACAATGATTCGTAGAGTTGCGGTTTGGTCTGTACACGATCTATCCTTACGGAATCCTGCCTGTTGTTCACGAAGTTGGGCGTCTACGCAGTCGTTCATCCTGTTTATCAATACCCTGTTGAAGACTTTTCCCGGTATTGAGAGAAGAGTGATGCCCCTGTAGTTATCACACTTGCTGAGATCGCCTTTCTTCGGTATTTTGATCAGAATTCCTTCTTTCCAGTCTGTTGGTACTTGTTCCTCATCCCAAATCTTATTGAAGAGAATGCGGAGTATCCTTGCAGTTGCCGCTACGTCTGCTTTCAGTGCCTCTGCTGGGATGTTGTCCGGTCCTGCTGCTTTGCCACTCTTGATTTGTCTGGTGGCCATGCTGATTTCTTCAATTGTTGGTGGGCCAACATTGATTGAGAGGTCCGTGTGTGCTGCTTCGATGTTGGGTGGGTTCAGTGGGGCTGGTCGATTCAAGAGTTCTTCGAAGTGTTCTACCCACTTGTCTTGTTGCTCTTCAATGTTGGTGATTACCTTGCCTTCTTTGCTTTTCACTGGTCGTTCTGGTTTGCGGCGATGTCCAGAGAGTTTCTTTGTCGTGTCATACAATTGTCTCATGTTTCCTTCTCTTGCAGCCTTTTCCGCCGTCGTTGCTAAATCTTCCACATATTTACGTTTGTCGGTTCTGATGCTCCTCTTCACCTGTTTGTTTACTTCTGTGTATTCAGCTTGTGCCTTGGCTTTTTCTGCTCTTGTTCGGCTGGTATTGATTGCTGCCTTCTTGTTCCTCCTTTCTTGAATCTTATCCAGTGTATCAATGGTGATCCATTTCTTGTGATGGTGCTTCTTGTGACCCAGGACCTCATGACATGTTGAAGTGATTGCCTCTTTGATCCCCTTCCAGTTGCTCTTCACAGTAATTCCTTCTCCATTGAGTAGATCATGAAAGGCCTGGAACTTGTTGCTGAGGACTATCTTGAATTTGTTGAGTTTGTTAGTATCCTGAAGAAAGGCCGTATTAAACTTTTGTGATATTGTCTGCCCCGTTGTCCAGTGCATCTTGAGTTTCAATTTCACCTTGGCGACCAGCAAGTGATGATCTGATGCTATTTCAGCTCCTCTATTGGTTCTCACGTCCTCTATAGTCCTCCTGAACGTTTCGTTGATGCAAATATGGTCGATTTGGTTTTGTGTAGAGTGATCTGGTGAAGTCCATGTGGTTTTGTGTATGCGTTTATGTGGGAATATGGTGCCGCCTATGACCAGTTTATTGAAAGCACATAGATTTGCAAATCTCTCACCACTTTCGTTTCTTTCTCCCAGTCCGTGTCGTCCCATGATGTCTTCATATCCAGTGTTGTCCGTTCCAACCTTGGCGTTGAAATCTCCCATCAGAATGGTCAGGTCCTTTGTTGGGCACTTCTCGACGATTGACTGCAGCCTATTGTAGAATTGATCTTCAGCGTCTTCATTGTAGTCGTTGGTAGGCGCATAGCACTGGATGATGTTCATTGAAATGTCCTCTTTCTTTGTTTTGAACGAGGCTTTGATGATCCTTGGTCCATGAGATTCCCATCCTATAAGCGCATTTTGCGCTTGTTTGGACAGCATCAATGCAACTCCTTGTGTATGTGGTGCATTTTCTTCTTCATGGCCGGAGTATAACAGGAGCTCTCCTGTAGTTAGTCGTTGTTGTCCAACTTGTGTCCAATGTGTTTCACTGATCCCAAGTACCTCTAGGTTGTATCTTCTCATTTCTGCAGCAATTTGGAAGGCTCTCCCGGTGTCCCACATTGTACGAACATTCCATGTACCTAAATAAATGGTCGCTCTGGTTGTCAGAAGGGGCATCGGCCTCGTAACTTCCGAAGGAATTCGGCTTTCATCATGAGGCGTCATAGTTCTTCTAAGTGAAGACCTTCTGACACTAGGGCAGAGTTTAAGTGGTTTGAATAATTTTTTCTGGTTAGCGTTTTTTAGCGAGTTAGTTTTCTGCGGGATGGGGTCGCTAACCCCATGCTCAACCCTCC